GCACACACACACCGCACACGCCCCGCACACGCCGCACACACGCCGCACGCGCCGCACACACACCGCACACGCCGCACACACGCCGCACACACGCCGCACGCGCCGCACACGCCGCCATCATACCTGCCTCCTGGGTTTGGACCACGCTGGAAGGTGCACTGGGATCCCCTGTACCGATGGCGTTGGTGGCCACGACGCGAAACTCGTACTCTACCCAGGGGTTGAGATCGACGGCGACGGCGGACTCCATGTCCCCGGTGATGTGTGGCGGATCTGCGGGAGAAGCACACATGCTGCTCTGTGCTGTGATCTAACATCCGCGATCGTTAAATGCTGCTATATCCGATCTGGCCAGATTCAGGGATGCCATGGGATGCCAGCAGATTATTGTTAGGTTACTGGTTAGCTTTGGGGAATGTTCAGATAAAAATCTTCTTCCCTCTCTGTGAAGAGGGCTGCTGCAGTTATCCGGGCTCAACTGAGCTAAAACTCTTCACTTCCCCCTTAACATCCCCCTTCACTTCCCCCTTAACTTCTCCCTTCACTTCCTGCCTAACAACCCCCTCACTTCCCCCTTAATATCTCCCTTCACATGTCCCTTAACATTCCCCTTAGCATCTCCCTTAACATCTCCCTTCACTTCCCCAATAACATCCCCCTTAACATCTCCCTTCACTTCCCCATTAACATCCCCCATAACATCTCCCTTCACTTCCCCATTAACATTCCTCTTAACATTTCCCTACACTTCCCCATTAACATTCCTCTTAACATTTCCCTACACTTCCCCTTAATATCCCCCTCCCCCTTCAGGTTTAATGCAGTAATGTTTTTATGATCACCCCAGCTCTCATGATGAAGGCTTAAATTGTGTTTTACTGTGTTTGGTGTCACTTAACAGACCAGTGCTAAGTGGGTTAATGAGCAAGGTGAGTCATGCAGGCATAGGCATTAATAATGACTGAGTGCTAAACTTATTATTACTGTTATCTGGCTGGATGGATTTGGGCAGATTACACACACTTAGTAAGACACTGTGCCTTGACATTAAAGCCTGAGACACGGATGGTGCTGCTTTCAGCCACACGGATAACGTTTCTGGGCTTCTGACAGCCCCATAAAAGCGGTGGAGGAAACACGGTGACCTGCTTCTCATTCTGAAGCACGGAAACCAGCTCTGACCTCTGGAGCTAGAAAAAAAATCGACATTTTCAGTGTGCATATGATTTGAGCCTCTCTCTCCAAATGCATGCTAAATAGGAAGACTTACAGGACTTCTGATTAGCAAAGAAGTCTTAGCATGGACTAATTAAAGTAAAATTAAGGCAGAAATTCTCATCATATTATGTACTGAGAGATTAGCTCAGAATTTTGTAAATGTCTGCTACAGCACCCAAAAGTCTGTGACATTACAGAATGTGTATATAAGAGTACAGAGTTAGCAAGCTAGTTGCAGGCTCCTACTCTCACCTTAATGCTATTGTTATCGCCCCAGCGCCACCTGCAAGGCCTCCTGCAGGTTCATATCGAACTACTATCCCCTCCAGCCAAAAACAGCGTCTGTCTGCTGACCTGCTAACTCATTATGTCCTGTGCATTTGTGTGCGTTAGTATCCGTGTGGCTCCGCTCTTGGCCTGAACCACGTGACCAGAGCAGGCTGCTGTTACCAGTTCTGACAGCCTGCCAGCCCAGGGAGTAGGGGCTCCGGGCTTGCAGGTTGTAGGCCATGATAGGGCTGTGGTTGTCCACTCCACGAGTCCAGGACAGGGTTGCTGTGGTGTCTGTGATCTCCTCCACGATAACGATCCCTGGGGGCCCGGGGGGTCCTGGACACCAGAGTGAGGGACATTCATCGAGACAGAACGGAAACCCAAAACATCCTCCCAGCTCCAAAGACTTCCCCTCTATACTTTATTATCATATGACCAGGCAGAAATTTGCACGTCCAACAAATGCTCACCATTGGCTGCATGCTAACGGCGCAACAGTCACGCCTGAAAGTGATCTTAAACAAACGCCTGTTTGACACGTCGGAAACTAGCCAGAAGAACCTGATTCCAGGAAGATCCCAAAACAGGTTAGGTTTGTACCGTGTGGCGGTGAAATGGACAGACGTTGCAGCGACGTCTGTCATTGCTAACAAGTGCCCGTCTTAGTTAGAACCAAAACGACCTCACAGGAAAAGGACAAGATCTGAGCCAGAATGTGAATCTCTCAGATGTACAGTATCTTCTTTACTCCATCAGCTAATAAAACATGCCCCCCCCGTAGAGGCAAAATGGATGGATGCTGATTGTTATTGATTATTTTTGTCTTTATCTGAGGGAGCACATCAGCGACGCTGCACACCCGAATCATTAAGGATGTTTAATTTTGCGTTTTCATTTTATGAATCAGTGAATGTTCAAGTTCTCTAGAGGGAACTGATGTCAAGGGGAATCTACCAGCTGCTGCAGTTAATGACAACCAGTGGAAAGACGGTAAACACTGGCATTGATATTCATTAATATCTATCAAGTGTTGCTATAGTAACAAAACATGTCAACTCATGTCTGTCTGTCCGGCGAGCCATCCATCCACTTTTTGTAACTGCTCGTCCTATTCAGGGTCACAGGGCATCTGGAGTCCACCTCTGAGGATAGGGGCGCAAGGCAGGGAACAACCCAGGATGGGACGCCAACCCATCAGAGGACACACTCACACACATCCCTATGAGAAATTTGGTAACTCTAATCGTGCCATGTTTTTGGACTGTGGGGGGAAAGTGGAGCACCCAGAGGAAACCCCACAACGATACGGGGAGAACATGCAAACTCCACGCACATGGAGCCACGGAAGAGAATCAAACTCTGCTCCCTCAGGTGTGATGCGACAGTGCTAACCACTGCACCACTGTGCCCCCCTCCCATCTGGCTGCTCATAAATTTTCACAGTGTAGTATGGTACACATCGAACCCCCGTAAAACAGTTTTACAACAAACCCATAGAATCAGAAAATGAACGACTGATACTACTGTGTTGATTTCCTGTCTTAGCAATTCAGCACTAAAAAATGGACAGGAGCATAACTTTCTGTTTGTAATAAAAGCAAAGCCATTATTCAGTAAAACAGTATGAACCTGCAGACTGACTGAGCCAGGTGCACTGTTCAGAGGGATTTATCTCATTCTTAAAATTGCAGTTTCAATCTTATCTGTTCGGTCAGGCATTTAAGCCACGCAGCTCCCAAGTGAGCGTGCCGGAAGGAGACCATGAACAAGCCGCCGCATGGAAGGTGGGGATTTCCTAGAGCTGCTAGCGTCAGATAACAGGCTCACCTCGAACAAGAAGTTCGGCTTCCGCGAAGACCGTGTCTCCACTGGTCTGGGCGCGGCAGCCATATTTCCCAGCATGCTTCAGAAGAACGTTCCTAATCATCAGATCAGCTGAAGAAGATTGCTGCGTTTGTGCGGAGTGTGGTGAGGGTGTAAAAAAAAACACAAAACAAAAAATAAATAATCAGAAAACAGCAACACAGAGATTAAACTGTCTTTGAAAACCACCATTCATAAACATTTTTAACTGGCTTTTCATCGCTCTCGCTACTAGAGCTGAAGTTCCTGTTCTGTCCTCGTCGTCTTGTCCTGCCTCTCGCGAGCTGACAAGCTCTGTGGCCTATGCAGAGGGAACCTGAAGGTTTACAGGCAGCCAGCGAGGCTGCCGGCTGATTAGAATTACAAAGGCAGTATCTTTGGCTCGCCGCTCATGTCTGTTCTCATGTCCCCAGCGTCCCCGCTGAGGCAGCCATGGGCAGGAAGAGCTAAACTGGCAGCGGTGGCTGAATTAACACGAAAGCCTGGCATTTTGCACCTGGATTCAGAACATGCTTTTTATTTGATCTCTAAGCAATCTCCGTCTATGAGGTTAAACACTACAGCCTGTTTCCCCAAAGCCTCAGAAAAGACAAGGCTTCAATCTGGACTCATTAAAATCTTCAGGTTCAGTTACCCACTAATCTCCAGGAATTTATACATCACTTTTTGCTGTCCAAACATTACCTTCTTGCATCCAAATCATCGTTAGATCTTTAACCATACTTCTGTAAACACGATCCACCCATTGTCCTAAATTCCAGCCATTTATGCTGATCACAGGAAATCCAGGGCCTCTCTGGAACTCTTGTACTATGAACCATAGCTGTTTCAGGTCCGCGTTCATTTATCACTGACGAGCAAGTTAAGTTCTGGAATATTCCAGCCTTAATAAAATGCTTAACACACCCCCCCGTTGATGTCAGCCAGTCGAAAATCTCCCACCAAGGGGGGATTATTTTGTCCAATGGCACCTTTATCAGAGCCTAGTACAATCACTGTGAATTGCAGAAGCCAGCAGAAGATGAGGACATTGTCACGGCAGGTGAAATGTATGTCATTTTCCCAGCAAGATTCTAAATCAATGTTTTAATCCCTGTCAACAGTGTATCTTTCCACATGAGGTGAGGGAAAGCTGTCAAATGTGTTTTTCTTTTTAAAAGGGAGCACTTACTGTAAAAAGGTTATCGTAAACGGTTTATGCTTCTGAAATGGTAAGAATGGTTACTGCTTTATTATGACATAGCCTCAATTGAAAAAACTACTACTGCGGTGAATTTAGCTTTACCAGCTACAATCTGTGCGTGGAATATCACCGTACTGGCTCTGAAAGATTGGCTGTTTGATTTAAAAGATGTTCTTCATAATCCACTCTAGGTATTCTTAATTACAATATCCCCATGTTGTGTGACCTTTCAGTGCTGTCTTTGTGCTATATGTATGTTTGAGTGCATGTCTTTATATGTTCAAAGGTGGAAAGTTCAGGTTCAGAAAATACAAATCCAGACCAAGATTTTGTTTCAATGAACCAGTTGAGTATAAATAGTCACAGTCACCGAGTGACCAGCTTATTGGTTGGAATAGGTTGGAATTGATTGGTATTTTACTGAATCATTTAAAACACTTTCAAAATGAGTTTGGTGCTTATGACGGATAATTCCAGCATGGTTTGGACTAATCCATGATTTGGATTCTTACTGTACGATTATCACCCAAGTTCAACTTTCAGGTAATGCAGGCCATATCATGATGTTCAACACAGGCCGTATCTTGATGTTCAAACACTTACTGTCTGGATGAATTCAAAGTGCCCCCCCTGCTGGTGGAAGTTGAGGGGCTGGCGGTTGCGCATCCAGAGGATGCTGACATCCAAGGAGGGGTCATGGACGGCCTTGCAGGTGAGGACCACGCTCTCCCCGACCGTCACCTCCACCCGGGCCGGACTGACCTCCACACGCATGGCCTCTGGAGGGGCGGGGGGGCGAGAGCCTTTCAACACTCCTCGCGAAACGGTGGTGGCATAAAGACACACGTCAGTCACATGTGATGTAACCCCGCTTAAGAGGCCGCTGTGACGCAGGCCCCGGGTTCCATACGCCTTGGAGGGTGGGGAGACACGCATACCTTTGACCCAGAGGATCGTCGTCATCTCGGCCAATCCGAACTGATTCTCAGCGCGGCACACGTAACTGCCCTCGTCGGCACGGCTGGAGTTGATGATCCGCAGAGTGTTGTTCCGAAGCAGCAGAGTCCTGCGGACGGAACCATGGGTGTGGATTCAGACGCAAGGGCCTCTTCTCAGAGGAGCCGGCATGAGATTTGCAGCTTTGCAAAACTAAACGCTTCCACTATACATGGTCTTTGTTGGGAATTTATGCCCATTTTAACTTTATCTTTCCAGACTGTGGGCTGAACGTGGTCTTGAATCTAATCCAAGTTAAATGTTATTAGGAGTCTTGGCATGAAAGACAGATGATGGAACAATACCACCCTCTTCCGCCTGCAGAACGCAGCCTGCATCTGCAAAAAGTTCATAAATCATCCCTCCCTGAGATATTAGTGTATCAGCTGCCTTATTTAGAGAATTTATTATTAATACATTAAATGGAAACTCACTTCATGGCAGAGTAACTTAATGTTCATGTTTGGTATGCAGGCTTCTGGATAAGCAAACGTCTGAGATTAGGCTGCCACTTCATTATGGGTAGACACTTGTAGGGAGGTAACCAGTGCCCTAATCACTAATTTATTAGAAGCTTATTAAACCCTATTACTCACAACCAATGGCTATGAAACATCAGAGGTAGCTACAGCGGGCTGTTTAAAGGTGTAGTGCTAATGGTGTGTGGTAGTTATGGATGTAGTTGCCATAGATAACCATTCAAAGTTAACCATTCACAGCTTTCATACAAAAAACTAGGACAACTAGTTAAGTCATTAAGCAAATAAGCAAAATTAACTGACACTAAGCATCATTTGCTGTTCACAGTGCAGAAAGTTTTAGGTACGTTATAAAGTAGGAGGGGGTTCCACACTTATCGTAAAGACCTGGAAGCAGTCCCGGGTACAGGCAGGCTACAGGGCACTGAACACGCAAACACATGGACCACTCAACGTTACATCTGAAGGGTGCTTCTGGAAAGCAGGATGGGGGCCGTCTGGCGGAGACCCACACATCACCATGGACGGCAAATGCACAGAGAGGTCCAGAGCTGCCTTTGGACCCGCTACACTGTAGGCATCTCCTAAGATGATTATGCATCCCATAATGCCCAGAGGCGAGTGTAAAAACACTTATTTTGAGTACCCTGGCTAGAAAAAAAGGTGCCAGAATAGGGAGCCTAGAAAAGTGTGTCCCCTTCAAACCTGACTAGTGAGGGACACTCAAGGCATCAAAGCCTTGTTACACTGAACACTGCAGTGGGAAAAAGGAAGTCAGCTGAGAGGTAGGAATCCTGTACTCACAGAACTTTGGTCTGAACAAGACGACAGCTGGGAACGGCTGGCAATGGTTGGGAAACTGCTGGGGAATGGCTGGTAATTATTGTGGAACAATTGGGAACGACTGGGAATGGATGGGGAATGAATGGTTCTCTTTCACACTAAACAGATCAGCGACATACTCGGGCCCAGTTTCAACATTCAGTACTTCAAATATTTGCTTGCGAAATTTCTAATATGTAAATATTTATAAACTTTAAGTGAATAAAATGCATATAACACAAATTGAATTATCTTAAAGGGAAACACAAACAGAACACATTCATTTAATTGATTTTCCAGCACAGCAATTTTGAGCTTTTTTTGTGAAAGATCTTGACCAGCATCTTCTTTTGTTGTTGAATATCTCGGGAATTTCAGAGAATGCTGCTGAATGTCTGATCGTGAAATATTTCCAGCTCTAATCACTGTTGATAGCAGGGACTTTAAATAGTCCTTTGTGACAACGTAAAATGAATCTAAATAACTAACTATAGTGATTTAAGCCAGTACAGTACAAATCAAAGATGATCAGATTACTATCAGCTCAGAAAGTGCAACGTGAAAGATGAACCTCAGCTTCAGCTCTGACACTGATTAGATTAGTAAAATACTACAAGAAGGGAATATTAAATGTAACAGGAGTCTGGTTTACACTGGCATGTCATAAAGGTTACACTATGCTTTGAAGCTGAACTGAGTCACTCCAGATCCGTAACAGAGGAGACCAAAGTTATACATAGATCACGCTGCGAGAAGTTCACCAATGTATATCTGCTTAATCATAGAGAAAAACAAGCAGTGTTCCCTCCAAGAAGAGCCCCTCTGAAGATTTAGTCTCTTAAAGACGGCAGGATGATGAAAACAAATCAAATCAAACGAGAGAACAAGAAAGTGTGGCTTCTGTCAGCTTCCCTGAAATGTTGCTGAATATTTCATTGGGGCTCTTGTAGTGCCTTCTGAATGCCTGGTGTCCTCAACATGAGCCTTGCATACACTGTGAACCTTATCCTGAACCTTATCAAGCACGTTCAGGTAGCAGAGATCATTATGAAATGGTAGTCCAAGCTGGTAAGGGATGTAACCCTCAATAAGTGTGACGTATAGAACAAAAAGCACATACAGTCAATCCTTCCACAGGCCCCCATTATCTGGAAAAACTACGGAAAAGTTATTGCTCCCCTTGGTGTGTGCAGTGAGCATGCGAGCAGAATGAAAAGATACAAGAAATGCAAGATACAAAGATCACTGCGAGATCACTGCGAGATCACTGCTGTAAACATGCTTAGCGTCCTCCAAATCAGCACTGCATGTGTATTTTATGCATTTATAAGTTACTAAGGTTTTTGCATAGTCTTCCGGCCTTCGCATTTCGTTTGCAGCTTTCGCAAAACTCCGAAAAAAATTCCCATTTCATTTCTTACCCAGTGATATATCAATACTGCGATGGGGAAAGTCACAATCCAGAAGGGTCAACTGTAAAACACTCAAATGTGAACAGGAACGAAACTATTTAACACAGAGCAAACCCTTTTCTGTTAATTACTATGGAGGAGAAGAATCAGGTTTCAAAGGAGGCCAATAATGGAATTAATACTTTCAATTTAGAAAACAAAAAGTCCCAAAAATTAGTGTAAATATATGTTGACTACACAGCCTGAGGTAATCAGCTGAGCTGCCGACAGCAGAGAGGTCTGCAGGATGCTCTCACTATCAAGTCTCCTGCCTTCTCGCATGACGCCGTGCAATGTCACAAAATCTTTGGTATGTGGGCCACTCTGCTTAAAAATAGAGTTTTCAGTACTTCACAATTCATCACATCATGAATAACTATATCGTCATTACACAGAAGGACGAAAAAAATCTCTTCACAAAACATTTCTCAACTAACAGCTGTAGTTTAGCAAGAAAGGCCACTCGTTCTTTTTCTATAAGGTTAGCATGGCCAGGGGGGGTTGGGCAGGCAGTTGACCTTGGACCCCCAGAGGTTATTTTTCTGCCTTGGAAGGTTTTGGTTCCTCTGCTCCATTGCCTGTATTCATTCATTCATTCTCTCTTTCTTTATTTCTGTTCCTGTATTATTCTATCTTAGTGATGCTGTGCCCCAAGCCCATGTGCAGTATCTTGGGCTGCCTCTGTTGTGAAAGGCGCTACAAAAATCAAATTGACTTGCATTGAACAGTAGATTAAATACAGTATAAGGATGGAATTTCAGTTTATTCTTTAAGAAAGCAAAATCATCTTCCTTTATTGCTTATTATATGATTTCATGGACCAGCTTAATTGATACAGTTATGCTCATAAGTTTACAAACCCTGGCAGAGTTCAACTACCTTTTCCCGCAGATCCTTTGACAATTCTTATGCTTTCCCCATGACTTAGAATCCAAAAAACATCAGTGCAGCACTGGATGAAAGATGCAAGGGTCTGTCAGGAGTTCAGAAACTCATTGACCTTTTATACACGCCGACAACCAAACAGATCACAGGTGAATATGGTTACCTTTAATAGCCATTCAAACCCGTTTGTGTCAAGTTGTGTGCATGTTATCAGGCCAAATCACCAGGGTATGTAAACTTTTGATCAGGGTCGTTTGGGTAGGTTCTGTTGTCATTTGGTCAGAATTGATGGCAAGATGAAAGCAGTAAGTTATCAAAAAATACTGGAGGAAAATTTGCGCTCATCAGCCCGGAAGCTGCACATGGGACGTACTTGGACATTCCAACATGACAGTGATCCAAAACAGAAGGCCAAGTCGACCCGTCATTGGCTACAGCAAAATAAAGTGAAGGTTCTGGAGTGGCCATCTCAGGCTCCTGACCTCAATATCATTCAGCCACTCTGGGGAGGGAGACCTCAAACGTGCAGTTCATGCAAGACAACCCAATAATTTACAGGAACTGGAGGCTTTTTGCCAGGAAGAATGGGCAGCTTTACCATCTGAGAAGGTAAAGAGCCTCATCCACAACTACCACAAAAGACTTCAAGCTGTCATTGATGTTAAAGGGCGCCAATACACGGTACTAAGAACTGGGGTATGTAAACTTTTGATCAGGGTCATTTCGGTAGTTTCTGTTCTCATTATGATTTTAAAAAAAGTAAACACAGTTGTTTGACAATAAATGGCTTCAGCCAGCCACTAACCATGAGTGAAAGGAAAGTTTTTGTGTTATCATTCATATTCTCTAAAAAATGGTTCAGAAATCATAAATTCTGCCAGGGTATGTAAACATATGAGCACAACTGTATTTACACAGCCTGTATTTTGCGTTCACAGAAATCAAACAGACTACATTCTCAGTGCCGGATCATGGAACAGCTGAACTTGAGTAGCAAAGACTCGGCCTGGAGGACATTTGTGGAACTGATGGTGAACTATGTACATGCAAGGCTCCAGGAGAAGATGAAAGGGAAGAGGGAGACTATCCAGCTTAGAAGAAATGACCTAGAGACTGTACCCAGTGCCTTGGAGGGAAACTCCAGAAACCAATTTGAGATGCTGGCCTGGCCTGAACCAGAGGAACCATGGAAAATTTTCAAGGCAATCATACAAGTGGAGTCTGAAAAACCTGATGGAAATGAAAGCGGTGAAGAAATCAAAGTGGATGAGAGGTAGCACAGTGGAAAGAGTAAAGGGGAGAAGCCAGAATCAGGAAAGATAAATTACTGAGCCCAGAAAGCTACCAAGGAGGGCAGCATGACAGCAACATCTATACAGTAACCGACTAAGAGAATTAAGATGGAAAACGGGCTGTTTTCAAGAAGATCCAGGAGATTAGAAAGAATTTCCAACCTTGGCAGGGAAATGCTGAAAAAACACCAACAGACAAATAAAAAATAGGGAAGAAAGACAGGAAAGAAATACTCTACTGTAAAGAACTGAACAACCGAGTGGTTTCTGGTAAGGTCTCCATGCAAACAGGAGCTCCAGGTTCTGCTGACCACTCCACTGCATGAGGTTTCTCCAGCAGGCAGGTCAGCAGAAGATGCTGATTCATGACTCCACAGCCACTTAATCATTTAAGAACCATAACATTCTGCAAAAATTAATGACCCTCTCACTGACCAACAAATGTCTCTAATTATATTCCAAAGGCAGCAGCCATAATCCTCTTAGACAATGTAGTATGTTTTATTCAAAAACCGAACAAGAATTGATAGATTTAAAGTTTATGTGCCTTTCTAAGAGTTCAACAGTTCAAAGCTCATTAGGTGTCCCTGCCAGTTACAGTATAATTATGTGCCACCTACAGATATATGGTCTCACATGGTTTTTAGGTAATGAAAAGAAAGGTGACGTTCTTGCATCATTTTTTGCAGAATGCAAGAGAGTCCCTGCTACAATGTCACTCGAATCTGTAATTCTGGCAATAAATTCTCATAAGATACCAATTTTCACAATTGCTCTAATATTCCTTTTTATTATCTCCCATTACACGTCATATAATCTCACTTTATCACTATAAAGAATATCTTCACCCTCCTGCTCTCATAATGAGAGAAGAAAAATGCTGTACCAATTTTATTATTTATTTATTCTTATATAATTGCAAAATTAGATTCTGGGAACAAGGACAAAGTCTGAAAATGTGCATGTTTCGTGACAGGGTGTGATTTCACAGTTTCTCGCAGTTCTCAGGCTGGATGTGCTTCACTGCACCAGCACAGGGGACCATACAGACTGCACACAACAGCACTGATCAAAGCTACAACCCTAGTGCATTGTGGGAATCGGAGCATGATGCTTTTGGGATTAAAATGGCGGCATTTAGGAATAGGAGGGCTTTGGAAATGTAAAACCAGATACATTTCTGAGCACCTTGTTCTCCAACAGAATCAGAGGCTACCGACCTTTGCCGCCCATAAAAGAGTGTCTCTGAGGTCTTTTTCTGAAATCGTTAACGCTTTACATTAACTGCACATTCATAATGCATTCATAAAGCATTCATAAGACATAAGTATACCATGGCATCCTAACACACCACATTATCCGATTATAATATCTATTACAGTGTTTCCCCTAGGTTTACAGCTTTGGGAGGGCAGACGGACACCGACAGGATTCATGGTGTTCATGTATTTCTTTTAATGACAGCAGTCAAAAAAACGCGGATATTTTTGTCTGCTTTTCAGGTGGTTGACGTGACATATTTTCCGGCGCGCGGTCTCTGTCCGCTGGTGGGAGTGTGGGGTGTGGGGGTGTCACCTGTGTTCCGGGACGGCCATGCACGATACAGAGAGCAGAGGAGACTTGTAGATGCGCGACCGTGTACAGACAAAAATGACAAGCTGTTGTGTAAATAAGATAAATTACATAAGGCTAGTTTGTTTAATAAAATGACAATGTATAGACCTGTTCTACAGGAAAGGTAACCTTAAATGACTTCTGTTGTGATCTGGCGCTATATAGAAAATAAAATTAAATACAATTAACTTGACCTTCAAGGGGGGGTGGGAGGTGCCGTTGGGGTGGGGGCTCCCCCCTAATATAATGGTAGGGGAAACACTGTATTATTGTATAATGTTTGTTATTAATGTATAATAATAATAATAATTGATACTTTATTGATCCCCCGTGGGGAAATTCTCTTTACACCTCCCCCACAAAGGGCAGCCACCCATAGCAGTGCCCAGGGAGCTGGGGGTTAAGGGCCTTGCCCAAGGACCCACAGATGTGCCAAGGCCGGGCTTGAGCCGGCGACCTTCTGATCACAGGCACAGAGGCTGAGCCCACTGAGGCACTGAGCTCCTATATTAAAGCCGTTAAGGTATGTCAGGATGTTATGGTATACTTACATGCTGCTTATGAATGTTCTATGAATGCATTATGAATGCATTATAAAGGTGCACTTAATGTAAAGTGCTAGCAAAAAATGTAGAACATACTGCGACATTAACTTTGATTATTATTTCTTTGAATCACTTGAATGACGGCGATGTGGTCTTAACACAAACATCAAAATTTGACCTCCATGGATAGTTCCAGTATTCCACACAGCATAGTCCTTGGCCCATTGGCAGACATCTGACAGAAACGTGGTCGGTATGAGGGGTCGATCATGCGAGCAGAGCCGAGGCCCCGGCCTACCTCTTGCTGGGTTGGATCCGGCGGTCTCCTTTCCTCCAGGTTATGACGGGTTTGGGAGACGCTCTGGGTTTGCAGTTCAGGGACACGTTCTTGCCAAGGGTGGCCACAAGCTGGACCGGGCTCTGCCGGAACGTGGGCGCTGATGCTGTTAGGAGGACAGGAGTGAGCTAAACAGGCCGTCAGCAGCCAGCGGCAAGACGCGGATCACACGCTTAATGCACACAGGGTCAGGGGAAGTCTCCATGAAACAGACACTAACGGCCTGACATGACTGGAAAGGTCATGGTCGCATCACCAAGTCAGGTGTAAATTTATTTGGGAGGGTAGGAGTCAGAGCATGCAGTTTGCTTAAATTCTGAGCCAAAAGTTCAGCCTGATCGTGCACTGAAACATAATGGATTTTCAGAAATTACCAAGTACGTTTATGGTACTGATCGCCATGGGAAACACCTCTGTGGTATACTTCTCTGGTGCGATTACCTCACATTTATCTGACTCTCTTCCAATAGAAGGAAGGGTTAAAATTTACAGGGGCTCGCAGGGATTTGAACCCATACCCCTTCGGTTAGCAACACAGTACGTGATTTGCTAAGCGTTGTGAGCGACAGCCACACTGTATATTCATCTGAAACATAATAATGTGAAATAATACAGTAATAGCGAACCGAAGCTCGAGGCTTAAGAGTAGGTGTTATGGGCTCTTTGGGGGCTGATTAAACACAAGCACCCTCATTCAAAGTTAAGAGCATGCAGACATTTCTGTTAATGTTTGCTCCAGTAAATAAATGCTTCTGTTCTTAATGAGACTAGCAAATATGTACGTAGTATTATACTGAAAAAGAGGGTTCAATAGACAGGGCAGTTTAAAGGCTGGTTAGTAGATGCCTGTGCGATCAGCTGGCTTCCACAGGTCACCACACTGGGACAGGGAATGGAGGGCGCCACCTGCAGGTACGGAGGCACAAAGCTCAACCCACTGCGAACACGGCGTGTAGCGCACATGGCAAGGTGTGCGGGTCTGACGGCAAGTAAAAACGGGATCTCCTCCGTGACACGGTGACTCCTGCTGTGTGAGATTCCCGCAGCTACCCGCTTTCCCACCGACAAGGAACATCCCATAATTTGCGACATCGCCCGAGTGACGGTGAATCACAGCCGAAGCGTCTGAATTGTTATTTTCTGGCTGCTTAGGTGAGAGAGCTGAACACCAGCATCTTCTAAAAATAGAAACAAGCAAATTATACATTTATGTTCACATTCTCTGGGGAAATTCACTGTTCTTTTCAAAATATATCCACTTATGTCAGAGTTATATATAAAAAAACACCAATGCTGCAAATGTGTTAAGAAAATAGGGCACATGGTTTTTATGATGCTTTGTGACAGTACTGCATGAACATGCCTAACTATAGCATACAGGTGTCATATTCAGCATATAATACAAATACTACTATTAATGTCCGTAATAATAACAATAATAATCTGACCCCAGAGCAGAATGCTGAACAATAAAACAGACGCACTGTGTTCTCACCAGCAACACAAAGCATTAAAAATATAGCAGCATTAAAAAAATTAACCCTGTAATAAGTGGTTAACACTGGAACTGTCACCTAAATCCGTTCAGTCGGTTGTTATCCCTCCAAAGGTGTGAACCTGACAGATTGCAGGGTCCCGAGGAAGTGCCTTTCGAACAGACGACTCTGAAATAATTACGATGTGCTAACAGCACATGTGCGCCCATCAGAAACGCTTAAAAAAGCATGAAAATTGCTGGAAATGGGGGGGCTGCCTGATGACGTGACCCGGGGCTTTGCCATGAGATGCGAGGGCTGTTTAAAACCCAGAATGTATGGTGAACGTGCTAATCACACCCCCCTCCGAGACTCTGCACTCAGCATGGCCTGTGGGCACATAAATGCGATGCAGCTTTATGGCTGTAATAAGCTGCACGTTATTAGGGGGAACTGCTCTGGTTGGATGTGATGTGAGGAGCTCAGATCTCCTGCTTTCTGGCAAGCCGGCAGTGACGGGCACGAAGCCTGACAGAGCCACACGCCACTGCTCCCCGCTGCGAAAACATGGCTGCTTTTTAAGCACAGACGTGCCTGTCAGCCATCGCCGTGATCAGGGCGTTAACGCCATCCGAGGATGTGAGCGCTGTGATGAAATTCCAGGA